ATTGTAGGCGTCCACTACTGTAGGCAAGTATTGTAGGAGTCCACTACTGTAGGCAAGTATTGTAGGAGTCCACTACTGTAGGCAAGTATTGTAGGGTCCACTACTGTAAGGGTGAACACTAAGACCACGAGACACAGGCCAAAGGGAAGAGATTTGGGAGGTTCCCGAGAAGGGAGGACCAGGGAGGGTAGATGCGGCCACAGACTAGAGGGTTGTCGGTGTTGACTTGGGCGGAAGGTAGGGTGGAGGTCCAACCCCAAGAGGAAGAGAAGAAATCAGGGGGAGGGAGGGTAGACTACGGGGTGTGGGTGTTGATGACTGACAGGAACTGCTGAATGCAGGGCTTAGGGTCTGAGATGCAAAACCCTCCCATTCAAGTCACAATAATAATAATAATAATAATAATAATTAATAAACAATGGCCCACAGTAAGTGTTGGGGATAAGTAGGTACACTATGACCTGGGGCCCCAACACTGAGCTCCTTCTCCCCTTTCTCTGTCATGCAGAAATGGCCCCTTGTCCTCTACCTAACCTACAACCCCCATGAGAAATTGGCAGTACTCAGCCCCCTGTGGCACAGGATCCACTTCAACTGGGCCTTTCCCCCCTCTTTTTTGCAAAAGAAAAATCTTGTAAAGATGTCTGTAGGGAAGTCAGCCCTTAGCTGCCTCCACTCTCTGAGAAGCCCCCACCTGCACGGCAGGGCCAAGACAGTCCAGTTAGCCACAGTGTGGCCCTTCCCAGACGGTGGCCACACCAGCCACGGACGCCTTCTTTTCAATCCTATCTGCTCCTTGCAATAAACCAACGTAATAGGCCTTCTACAGACAGGGAAACTGAGCCAAGGCCACACAGAGCGCAGGCGCTGGAGCGAGCGAGGGCAGCGCGGGGCTCGCGGGTCCCACTGGCCATGCTGGAGCCGCAGGCGCCTCCCCCGAGGGGCGGGACTTACAGCGTGGACAGGGATTGGAGGGTGTCGAAGGCTCCGGGAGAGATGGTGGTGATCTGGTTGTCGTAGAGCGAGAGCAGCCGGACGTTGCGCAGCCCCGTGAAGCTGTCATTGTGGATGCAGCTGATCCGGTTATTCCTCAGCATCCTGTGAAAAGGGGTGGGGGGGGGTGACCCCAGGCTGTGGCCTGAAAGCGGGGAACCAACTGTGTTCGCAGAGCCACGAGGGAGCATCATGGCCCCGGGTGTACCTTGATCAGTCGGAAACCTACATGGTCTGTTCTCACCTCCAGACTGCCTCCACGGCTAAGAGGCATGGGCTCTGGCTCCTCCTCTAACCCATGGTGCCCCCCCCCCCCCCCCAATCAATCTGGCCCCACTTTCACTTCCTGGATGGCCAGTGCTCCTCCCACCTTCTGGCCTCACCCCACATGGGCGCCCAAGAGGTTTCCTGAGAGCCTACATGCCATCATTCCTCAGCTGACAGCCCAGTGATGGCCTCCCAATTGCCCACAGTTTGGTATTTAAACTACCGGGTGCCCTCTAGCCAGCCCCAGACCATCTCCTCAGCCCTGCTGCCCCCCACCCCCCACCCCCACCTTGTTTTTGCTCCCACGCTGCCCTCAGTCACATCACCGAGTCTGCTCCAGAGTGTTGTCTCCACTGGAGCTCCCTCATCTACCCCCGTTTACCCTCAAACACCTGGCTCAACTCCCCTTCCCAACCCAAGCCAAAGACAACACGGACCACACAGTTCACGGAAGAGATCACGGTGGTTTGTGAACTTCTGTAAAAGTGTTCAGCTTGAATAGCAGGGCGGATGTTTAAGCAGTATTGACTCTTTGCTGAATCAAAAGTCTAAAATCAAAAAGAACTCAAAGTCTACACATACCCAGTGGGCACTGTGAGCCCCTGCTGCAGGAAAAGGACTCGGGCCGGCTCTGGAGCAAACTGGCTCGACACTCCAGGACCCCTGGAGTGGGCTCTCCGCCTCCACCTGGCAAGTCCACGGTGAGGACTTCGTCATAAGGGACGAATCATGGGTGGACACAGATCGGCTTATGAAGATACCAACGACAGCTTCAAGCAGTCATGGTAGGTCTACAGGGCAGGGCTCAGCTGCTAGTCAAAATGTTTGTGGTTTGAACCCACCAACCACTCTGTGGGATAAAAGGCCTGGTGACCTGTTCCTGTGAAGAGTCTGCCTTGGACACCCTGTGGGGCCACTCTACTCTGTCCCACAGGGCGCTCTGGGTCAGGACGTATCAGCAGCACAGAGCAACTATCACAACATTGCTTATAATTAAAAAAAAAACTAAAACTAACACCAGAAACAGCATTAGCCTCTAATAATTACACAGTACATAACCATGAAAAATCATGTTGCAGGAGAAATTCCAATGATATTTTAAAATGCCTGTGCTAAATTGAAAGTAAAGCAGGTTACTAAATAGAAGGTGTTTTAGGATTTAATATAGTGGTTACGTGTTGGGCCGCTAACCTCTTGGTCAGCAGTTCGAAACCACCAGTGGCTCTGAGGAAGAAAGCACTTTCTACTCCCATAAAGAGTTACCATCTTGGAAACTCACTGGGGCCATTCTAACCTGTCCTATGGGGTCGTCAGGAGTCGGGGGTCAGAATTGACTCAATGGTACTGAGTTTGGTTTGGAGATTTGGGTGTCTGTATACACACACACACACACACACACACACACACAGAAAATACATAGAGAAAAAAGATGGGAAGGATAGTGTTGATATCAACACATTGTTTCTAGATAGTGGTAGCTTTATGGGGACTTCCGCTCCTGGCCTTGCAGCTTCGTCTGCACCTGACTGTGCTCCAGCACCTGCAAATCCCCTCTTCTCTGTCCTCACCCAAGTCTTCCAGACAAGGGCAGAGGATCTGGTAAAATAGCACACGGGTCCTCATTCAAGAATATTCCGCAGGCACTAAGCAGAATGAGGCGGCCATCAGCGAGCAGCCTGGAAAGATGGCCAGGCCACACTCACAACAGGAAAAAATACAGGCTCAAAGCCCAGTGCACCATCAACTCCCCCTGTTGGTGAAACAAGCGATCAAAACTGCCCAGGGAGTCCCATCACGCATCAGTAGGCCTTCCGCAAACTCCACCCACCATCCCAGGAAAACAACCTCGAGCCCCCCTGCAGAGCTCAGACTGAAACCTAGGCAGGTGGCTTCTAGAGAACACATATCCGAGAGCCACCTGCAGCTATTTAAAGTTAAGCTAATTGAATGACATGGGATGTCAGTGACCCAGTAGTACTAGCCACATGGAGAGCTCCAGCCACCTGGATTAGACAGATAAAGCTTGCTGCCCCACTGTAGAAATACTGGAGGGGACGCTGTCGATTGGACACTAAAGAGCCGTCACTCCCTGGGCAGAGAGCTGGGCAGGGAGGGGGCCCCTGCCGCATTCACAAAAGAACGGGATATGCCTGAGTACCTGCATGTGCTTAGATCTGGCTGGAATCAGTCACAGAAACCCAGGGGTGGGTTCACATGGCTGCCCCCTCCTCTCCAGCCCCTGACGACGTTCCAGCAATACCACTGCCTAGCACCCGGTGGGCGACCTCCGGGCTTCCATCCTGCCAGTCCTTCACCAGGCACCGGCCCCACGTCTCAGAAAACAACACCCACAGGCCTCGTTGTGAGTTGATGACAATTGCCAGCACCCCCCCCCCCTTTTCCCTATAACACACACACCTCACACCGGGATCCGGCTTCTGCCTGCCTCGGCCCAGCTGGACTACCCAGTGAGCTCCCTGAGCCCCCGCACACTCACAGGGTCCTCAGGCCATCCAGGCCCCGGAACATGCCGCTCCGGATGGACTCCAGCTGGTTGGCGGTCAGGTGCAGCTCATTCACTGACGCCGCCCCCTCGAAGGCTCCGTCCTCAATCTCGGACACCTTGTTGTTGCTCAGGTTGCTGGGGAAGGGGCACCAGGAGCTCAGGGTTCTGCCTTCCTGCCCCCTCCCTCTGCCTCCACACATGGAACCCTGGGGGAAGTCCACCCCACCCCACCCCACCCAGTATTATCCTTCCCCATTCCAGCAGTGCCTTCCCTCCTGCGGGGACTCACATTTTCTTCAGGTGCGGCAATTTCTTGAACATCCCAGTGGCCTCCAGGATGGAGATTTCATTGTTGTTCAAGCGTCTGCAAGGGGCGATGCAGAAAGGGGCAGGTCCATGGGGGTGGAGGGGTGGGCAGGTGGTTTGGTTGCTCCCGAGTCGGTCCTGCCTCATAGTGGCCCTGCAGGTCTAAGCAGGACGGGTAGACCTGCCCCCACAGGGTGTCCCTGGGTTGTCCTCTATGTCTTTGCTTCCAAGGAGCAGCTGGTGGAGTCGAACTACCAACCTTCACCACTGTGCTACCGGGGCCCCTTGCGTGTCCACATGTGATAAACGTGAATGTACTCTCTGAGAGGAGAACAGTGGACGGGGCTCTGGGAAGAATGGCCTGGGCATGCCAAACGGACCCCACTTCAAAGGCAGGCTTGGCCTCTGCATGGGAGGGGTGGAGATGGGATTTGGGGTGTTTGAAGAATGTCGTGAAGCTTCACGTACGTCAGTGGCAGGCGTGTGCAGGTGTTCATGCGTATGGAACAGCCATGCTTGAGCTAATGGAATCAAGTTTCCCCCCAAAGGAGGCAACAGCATCATTGAGAAAGGCCCTCGCGTGCAGGCTGGTGACCCACTCTGGGTGCCTTGTATGGATGTGTGTTGTGTGTGTGTGTGTGTGTGTGTGTGTGTGTGTGTGTGTG